ATAAGCCTTCAAAGTTTTATATGAATTTAACATTGATAAGTCTTATGTGTTAACAAAAAATTAAAGAAATCTGAAGACCATCGGTCAATTCTTTGTTTAAGCAAATTATATTTTTTAATTTAAATATGAATATAATACCTAAACTTGCAAAATAAATGAAGTAATTTACAAAAAATATTGAAAACTATGTTTTTAATTCTATAATTCTAAGGCAAATGAAAGGTCATATCACCTATTCGATTTTCCAGTTTATATGTTGTGTTTATAACGGGAATTAAAGAGAAATTCTTAATTATGCATAAAATTCGAGATAGCACTCAATGGGTTAGTGTAAGGGGTTATGTTATACATCGTTTGAAAGCTTTTTAAAAGCCCTTAGGAATGATATATAAAATGTAAAATATATAATATATTAAATATATAATGCGGAAGATATTCCAGATTATATTTTAAATCATTAACCCCCATTTCCACCAAGTTCAGTTATAATTTAACTCTTACTTTAACTATCAGTTAGCATATTTTCTTTTTCACCAAATTCAGTAATAATTTAACTATCAAATTTAACTGAAAAAAAATTTCAGTTATGTACTTAAGTGGCAGAATTTATACAATATTTGTTAATAAAATTGAAGCAGACTTTTAGGAAATTTATTTACTATCCACTAAAATATGGGTTTCTGTTAAAAACACGTTAAGACTTAGGGGAAAGTATGTACCCACGGCAGATTCAAAATCAGCTTGGATTAAAACGCTTAAACATATAATAAGGGCTAAATTGATAAAACAAGGCATATTACATTTTTCCGCATAAAGGATTAAACCTTTACGAGACCAATGGACTTGCATTTGGTAACCTCCTAGACTCTGAACGCGGAAAACGTTACTCGAATTCCGGCAGATCTTGACCACTTGAAAAAGTTCAGCAACAACACTTCATCAGTTATGTTAGGTCGTTGGACAAACATAACCCAACGACCTTAACATTCCTTATACATACTTAATGCTACTTTTGTTGGGCGTCATGAAATAACTCCCCAACACAAAAAAGAAATAACTCCCTCAAAATTTGTTCAGAAAGCAAAAACAACGAAATTTGGGGATTTAATTCGTTTTTTGGGGCATTATTTCACATTTAAAATGGGGAGTTCTCATTATGAAATAATTCCTCAAAATTCAAAAATGAAGTAAATCCCTAGAAAAAATTTTGGGGAGTTATTTCATTATATTACTTGTATCATACGAAATAAAAATATATGTCTGATAGCCGGCCTTCCTTTTATCCTCTGGGATACATTGGACACCATCTTCGCTAAGAATACACTCTCCCTGTATCAAGAGTGTTCAGCCTTAGGCCGGCTATTTAGGACATCTTTACTAAGCGATGCCGGTGTTGGTCATATTATAGAGTGGTAAATTCTTGCATTTCTAGGAAATACTTATTAAGCGAAGCCGTTGTTGGACATACCATAGAGTAGAAAGTCCGGCCGCAGGTCTGATATTAAGGGAATATTTATTAAGCGATTAAACTGAACTGTATTAAACTTTGAATCCCCACTCGAAAGTATGAGCTACCTAATTTTTTAGAAATGTCACTAAAACCGACTTGTTCCATAATTTATTTTTAAATGGGAACTAATTTCATTTTAAAATCATGGATTTGTTTCATATGAAATAAATCCCTAAAAATTGGGTGTTATTTCATTTTAATTTAGGAAGTTATTTCATTTCGTTTGGGCTTTTTTTATTTTTAAATTGGGCTATTATTTCATAATGAAATAAGTCCCCAAATTTGAGGACTTGTTTCATTTTTGTGTTGGGGAGTTATTTCGTGGGGAGTTATTTCATGGTGCCCTTTTGTTGAGGTCAACCGCAGAATGGCCGTATCCAACGGCATCCTCAAGAAAGGAGGAGTTATTTGCCTATATGAATTATATATTTTTAAGTTATCTAAAGCATGGTATTCTGTTCAAAATTTCATGTGAAATTTTTAAAAACTTCATACAAAAAAAATTGTAATGAAAATTTTATGAAAAAATGTTGCTGAATTAGTACTCTGTTTGTATTGTTGAAAAACATGTGAAATGTTTCTAACAACATTTCAGCAACATTTTTTTCAATTGTGTGAAATAATATAAACTCTAGTTAGTTCACGTGAAATTTTAAATGAAAGAGACCATGTGCCGTCTAATTTCCATTATATATTAGGTGACATTTCATAATTTAGGTGCAATTTTCCTTCATAAAAAGTTTTTTACAAAAAAAAATTTACAAAAATAATATTTCTTTTTAATTTATTTTTCAATTTAAATTTGTCAAACAAAACATAATCATTTGGTTTTGTTTACATATATAAGCGATAAAAAACGACAAATTTTATTAAATCCCTAGATAGATAACACTGATACATTTCAATTTTTACAAATGAAATTGTAAAAGTTTATAAACATTTTTTACGACTTCAAACAGAGTAACAGCCTTAACGGGAGGATGGTGAAAATGAATATTATAACATGAAGTTAAATAGTTGTCGTTGACCAAACTAGCAATTAGTAATGTTTACATTTTGAGAGCAAAAATAATTCTGCATTAAATTATCTTGTTAGTGTATTAGAAAGTGTCCTTTTTATACCTTTTTATTCTATGTAATTACACAGTGATTCACGAAAAAAATGCAGGGGATCTCATATACCAATTCCATTTCGTTAGACTCCATAAAGTACGAATATACTTTTAATTTTTCCGATCAATTCGTTTAATTTCTTTTTAAGAGCAAAAGATGTGAAAAAGAGCTATTTTTGAAGTTTTAACTTGTTTGGTAGTTTACAACCGATTTTCAAATTTGATATTTTGTTTTAAAGATACAAGTGCTGCCTTTTAATCCAAAAAAATAACTTCAAAATTTAAATTAAATGAATGAAGTAACTTCAGATTTTATTACTTTTGAGATATTTATGTAAATCGATGAATAAAGTAGTGAGTTGTGCTAAGTTTTGTAAAAATATTTTTTTGCATACAAAAACTTTCATGTATGTATCTGTTTTTTTGTAACAAGTTTTAAAAATGTTTATAAACATTTTGATACAAAAATAAATTTGTAATGAAAAATGAAAAAATCCGCGGAACATGCTATTAGAAAACTTTGCATAACTCATCATAGATTTTTATGAAATGACAAGTTTTGGAAACATTCCTTAATGTGATTCTTTACGAAGGTAATGAAAGATGAACTTACTGTCTCATGCCCAAAGTAGATCATGATGAAAATTAAAAATTGTTTAAAAAAAGTGTGAGTATTTTGACTATAAAATTGTATATTTCTTTTCTTGGATTAAAAGGCGACTTTAAAACAAAATTTAAAAATAGTTTGAATACTACCAAACTTATGATTTTTCAAAATTAAAACTTCAAATATGGCTCTTTTTCGCATCTTTTGCTATTAAAAAGTTGGTAAACGAAGTGATAGGAGAAAACTAAAAATATATTCGTACTCTATGGACTATAACGAAATGTAATTGGTATATGAGAACTCCTGCATTTTATTTTTCTTCACTTTTGTATCACAGTGTTATGGACCAATTCTCATAAAATTGTATAGTGAAATTTAGGTTCCTATAAAACTTGTTTGTGTCGAAATTCATTGCTATACAGATATTTTTAAGACAGTAATGAGCGTTAACGTAATTATCTGAAGGGGACCTTATATGGTAGGTAATGTCAATAATGGACAAATTGTCAGAAAATTTGGTCGAAAGGTTTGGGTTCCTATAAAAATATTTTGTGTCAAATTTCATTGCTTTACTAGTATTTTTAACCCAATTATTAGCATTTAAGAACCTTATACGGGGACTAGGGTCAAATATGTCCCGATGTCCACCATACTATACCGTAAAATTTCAGGGCCATAAAACTGACTTGTGCTAAATTTCATGGAAATTGAGTTTTCTGGGGGATCACTTGTATGGGGGCTACGCGAAATCTTCAACCGATATTGCCCTTTGTCAGTATCAACCAAACCTTACCTATAAGAAATATTTGTGGGAAATTTTAGCTATTTATTTAAAGAAATAAAGAAGTTATAGATTTTTGGCCGGAATTTACCACCGTGCAATGCGTCAATTACTGAACTTTCCTCGGCAGACGCATTACAAACTACAGTGTGTAACATATTAAGTGAAAATACACTATTTAAAATTTTTGACAGAAGTATACTTCCTGCGGATTTTTTTAGTGTGACTATAAAAGTGTTGCATTTAATGGTATTATTTAAAATTTTTACAATCGGAAAATTTATTAGGACGTTTTCACCTATGGTAAAAATATTTTTTTTGTAAATATTTAAAAAAAATATTACGAACAAAACGTCAGTTTTGCAACGCGGGACCATATGATCTTTGATTTCGTCTATTTCAAAATAACGGTAATCAATCTGTGCTCTTTGTTTTTTATTCTCTTAACTTAAAGCCTCTCAATTGCGAACATTTTGTTCCAGTTTCTATTACTCAAATTTAAATATTTAATATTTGCTGAAGAAGTGAAATTTTTCCGCGAGTAAAAAAAATGCAACGCAATGAAATAATAGTAAATTTAGGTTTATTATAGCGTTTTTGATCAAAGTTTCTTGAAGAAGTTATATAAGGGATAAGAATCTATACTTGAAATTGGATTGGATAAAACTTTTATAAAACTCGTATTGTATAACTTTTTTAAGAAACTTTCATTTAAAAACCAACAATAAACCTAAATTACAGTTATTTCCTTGTGTTGAATTTTTGTGCTCGCTACTGTACATATTTATATTTTTATTTTTGATTTTTTTTTTTTTTTTTTGAATTGGGAGCACTTAACTCTTAAAGTATAGTATGTACATACATATGTAAATTTAAAATTTGCGTGAAATTAACTTTAAACGTTAGCAATAAAACAAAGTTTCTAACCTAAAGTACGCTGTATGTTTCCTACTTAGTATTTTGCTTAAAAAATTGTATACTTATACTTACATACTGTCAGCACTGAACAATTCTCAATCCGTTGCACATAAATGATGTGAGCTTACGCAAAATACCGCTCCCTAAAGTATGCCTTGCCTTTGGAAAATACATACATTTTACCTCTGTCACTCAAAGAGCAGTATCCTAGGGATAAATGTATGTATATGAACAGAAGTCGTTTTATTATTTATTTCCTTTTTGTTATAACGGATACATATCATTTAACATTCTTCAATTAAATTTTTAAATTCACATTATATACATTAAGTCAAATAAAGTAAATCTGTATTAAATTAGAAAAACAAATTATTTTTTCATTAATGTATGTATGTATCATGAATACATATTTTTGAACACTAGCAAATTTCACATCACACATTTTGGGCGTCACATTGCAATTCCTTTAGTTTTCACAATTATATGGAATTATGTTTGATGTATGAATTTTTAATATCAATAGATAGATTAAGTAAAATGATTAACTGAAAAAGTATTTATGTATATACATAATAAAACTTTCTTTCTATCCCTTTTTATTTAATTTTTTTTCTTCAATATGCTTAATATTTAATTTATATACCACAATAACGTTACAGATTCACATCTCTTTCCCAACTAAAGTCACAGCAGAGATTTTGAAGAGAGTATGTAACATTAGAGATGTTCTAAGGATGAAAACCACACACACATCAAAACAAATATACACATACACATCGAACAGGGTGGTACGTAAATGTTCACATTTAAACAAGTATGTGCACTTTTTTAGCTTTTATATATATTATAATTGAGTAGGATGTAGTAAAACCAGAGACAGAAAATAATTATTATCCATGAAATTTCCGCCTAAAAAATCAATATGAAAGAAACGTACTAGTAATGTTTTAATTGCACCAAAATATTTTCCAGACTTTTTTTAAATAACCTTTTTTTATTTTTATAATAAAAGTTGAAAATAAATATTATTTTTATTCAATTGTTTCAATAAAAAATTGTTTGTATTTTTTTAATAGTACTTACTCAGCAATTTTTTATTTATGCAAATGAAAAGTAGAAATCAAAGCAAAAAATAAAAATCACCTGAAGACAATTATTCGTGTTTAAAATTATTCGAAAAAACCCCTACTATATTTTTTTATTCTAGTAGTCGATTAAATTTTAAAAATTATTCGATTATTTGAACGAATAACAAATAAACATTTTTATTCGAATAATTTAATAAATTTTATATAAAACTTGCCAAACACCTTAAAAATCTTAAGATACGGATAAAACTGTTTTCATACATTAATACACTTTTAATTCAGCAACTTAGTTGAATCTCAACCTATTTTAAATTTCTCACCGGATTTAAGGGGAAGTTGAGGCCTTTATAATGTATATAAGATGTTCAACTAGCCTGTTTTGCAGACGTTTTTAAAAACTGTTTTATATAAAAAAATCGTACTATTTATTAATGTGCTAGGAAACTATGTCTATTCTGGGTAAAACGCAATTTCGTTTTATTGAGTTATTGACGTTTTTCTTAAAACAAAGATGTTCGATAACCGATTTTCTTTATATGGGGTAATAGGGTTAAATATGCAATAAAATCGATAATAAAATTAATGCTTGGGTTAGGGTTAGGTTGATAGGATGTATACTACATCAAATCTGACCACACAACAACACTATCGGGTCCACTGTGCGCTGCTTTTCATGAAAGAAAAAGGTTTATTGGTAAAACAACAAAATAATGTCCACTGAATGTATTATCTTTCAATGTTCTGAAACTCAGTTTCCTGGCCGTAATTCCTAAGAATTTCCCAATCAGTTTTCGTGAGAAATGTTCGGCTTGACCAAGACATTCTATGTGGGCTCAGTGTTTCAAAGTTTTCGACATATTCTGTTTCTAGTACGCGATCAGGCACGTCCGATGATTGTTTATAACCTTCCAATGTGTCCAGTATACATTAATGACGTGTCCTTTAACCGCGTTGGCCAATTCACCTAAAGTTATGAGCCGTTCGGTTGTAAGTGCCGCCTCATATCTTAAATATGTTCCAATGGGTGGAATATCAACAAGGTTTCTTGAGCCTTGCTTGACATTGTGCTTATGGTACCACTTGTACCCAAGCAGTATGTACGCTAAACTCCCTGTTGTAGTTTGATATTACACTTTTTATACCCTCCACCGACATCAGTGGTGAAAGAGGGTATATATAAGTTTGTCGTTCCGTGTGTAACACCAAGAAATATTCATCTAAGACCCAACAAAGTATATATATTCTGGGTCCTTATCAAATTCTGAGTCGATTTAGCTGTCTGTGTAAAACACGCTCACGTTAAAACTAAGCAAAGGAAATCAACCAAATTCACCCAAAATATTTATTATTATCCTAGCAGTTTGGTATTGAAAATCAGCAAAATCGGTTCACAACGTAAAAAGTTATGAGTAAAAATTTCAGACTACCTCTAAAAAATTACGGTTTTTTTATAATTCTTTTGAAGTTTTCTCAGAAACTACCAAAGATATTTCGATGAATTTTGTCACACATTATTTTTTCATGGCAGTGATCAATTATGTTGAAAACCTTTAGAATCGATCCAATATTTCCCATAGCCCCCATACAAAGGTATATATTCCCGGAAATTAGATTATAGTTAATAACTCCCTCAAATATATCGGTATCAACACAAAATTTTGTACATGGAAATATAATATGAACAGAAATCATACAGTCAACGTAGATCTCAGTCGGTCCACAATTGGTCATAGCTCCCATATAAGGTCCACTTCCGAAAATCACCTAAACGTATATATTTCATTGATGAATATAGCTATTGTGATAAAATTTGAGTTAAATATGTTTTGTGTACATACAAATCAATCTACCAAATTTTTTACGGATCGGTCCATTATTGGTCATAGCTCCCATATAAGGCCCACTTCCGAAAATCATTTAAAAGCTCATATTTCATTGTCAAATAAAGCTATCTTGAAATATTCGACACAAATATGTTTAGTCTAAATATGAATCACTCTACGAAATTTTTTCTGGATAAGCCCATAATTGGTCATAGCTCCCATATAAAGTCCACTTCCGAAAATCACTTAAACTAATATATTTCATTGAATTATAAAGCTATCGGGATAAAATTCGACACAAATATGTTTTGTCTAAATATGAATCACTCTATATTTTTTTTACGGATCGGTCCATTATTGGTCATAGTTCCCATATAAGGCCCACTTCCGAAAATCACTTAAATGCATATATTTTATTGAATAATAAAGCTTTCGGGATACAATTCGACACAAGTATGTGTTGTGTGTACATTCAAATCATTCCACAAAATTTTTTACGGATCGGTCCAATATTGGTCATAGCTCCCATATAAAGCCCACTTCCGAAAATCACTTAAAAGCACATTATCAAATAAAGCTATCTTGATAAAATTCGACACAAATATGTTTTGTCTTTATATGAGTCACTCTACGAATTATTTTCCGGATAGGCTCATAATTGGCCATAACTCCCATATAAAGTCCACTTCCGAAAATCACTTAAACGCATATATTTCATTAAATTCTAAAAATATAAGAATAAAATTCGACTTGAATATATTTTGTGTGCATATAAATCATTCTACCACTTTTTTCCCGGATTGGTCTATTATTGGTCATAGCTCCCATATAAGTCCCACTTCCGAAAATCACTTAAACGCACATATTTAATTGTTAAATAAAGTTAACTAGATAAAATTCGGCACAAATATGTTTTATCTTTATATGAATCACTCTTCCAAAATTTTCCGGATTGGTCCATATATGGTAATAGCAGCTATATAAGGTCCACTTCAAAAAAATCACTTAAGCGCACATATTTCATTATCAAATAAAGATATCTTGATAAAATTCGACAAAAATATGTTTTGTGTAAGGTCATAGCTTGTATACATATAAAGCACTTCCGAAAATCACCTAAACGCACATATTTCATTAATTAGTAAATCTATTATAGTAAAATTCGAATTGATTTTTTTGGCATATAAATCATTATATGAAATTTTTTCCTTATCGGTCGATAATTGGTCACAATTCCCATATAAGGACCATTTCCGAAAATTACTCAAATGCACATTGACAATCAAAGTTATCGGGATAAAATTCGACATAAATGTGTATTTTGTTTTCATTTCATTCTACGGAATTAATATACATTTTTCTCGACCTTATTAAAATTAGTTTGACATATGCATTAATGTTAGTACCCTCAATACGGAAACAAAAATTTTGCCAAGTTATCTGAAAATTAGATATTTTAATGAGTTTTAATAAAAAGTAGCTTCCTGGTGGAGGGTATTTAAGATTCGGCATAGCCGAATATAGCACTCTAACTTGTTGTCCAAAAAGAAGTCAACCAGATTATTGAAGCACAAGCTAGAATTAGTCTAATTATACTTTTATAACACCAATGTGCCATAGTAGGACTAAGACCCCGATTCATGCCTATAGTTCTCCTACATATTATCCGATGTGCCTTTTTGATCCGATCCTCTATGTGGTGGTTAGAAATTGTTGTCTTTCTTGTGTAAAGACAGATACTTAAAAAACCAAATTAATTAATGTTTATCTGTTTCACTTATTGCAAACATTTAAAAAATGAAGATAATCACTTTTAAAACTAGAACCAATTTATTTTTAATATTGCAAAAAAAATTATAAACTGCAAAAAGTAGTACAAGTTTTGTTTCAATTATAACATCTATCTATCTATCTATCTATCTATCTATCTATCTATCTATCTATCTATCTATCTATCTATCTATCTATCTATCTATCTATCTATCTATCTATCTATCTATCTATCTATCTATCTATCTATCTATCTATCTATCTATCTATCTATCTATCTATCTATCTATCTATCTATCTATCTATCTATCTATCTATCTATCTATCTATCTATCTATCTATCTATCTATCTATCTATCTATCTATCTATCTATCTATCTATCTATCTATCTATCTATCTATCTATCTATCTATCTATCTATCTATCTATCTATCTATCTATCTAGTTCCGATATATAGCGAATTAGTTTTAGATATTCGCATATTACATCTTAAATACATATTTTTTTTAATTTTACAGATATTGAGATTCTTTTTTAGAGAGTACTATAAGATATTTATTTCTAAAATTTTTGGCGTAGAACACCAAAAAAGATTGAAAAAGAAGGAAAGTTTTGTTACATTTGTACCAAAAATACATTTATTTTATATATTTCTTTAGGAGCACATTTTAATTATTTTGTTATGATTTATATTAGCAAAAAGCAATATCGCGAATAATTTAGGTTAAATTTAGTTATTGGTTAATGTGTCTTGCCACTTTCTTAAAGCTCTTTGTTTTAATTTATAATCGGTAATTTTACAATAACAAAATCTACTCTTCTTTGTAAAAATAAAAGATTAAGAAGTCCAGTCACTTGAAGATGCTTCACTTTTAGCTTCTCCATATCAAATTCGAACATTATTCTCAATCAAAATATCATCATGTAGCCCATTAAATCCATTACAATTGTGGGAAAAGTATAACGATGACATGACCGAAGAT